AGCATATTTGGATATCCTTAACTGGAAATCACCCATACACTCTCTGTCAACTCCTGCTGGACCTTCCTGGTGGTGTGGCTACATTTCACTGAGCGAGGATTGAGAAAAGGTTTTCAGGCTTTGGGAAGAGCTGGGTTGGTCCAAGAGTTCGGGAATGTCAGAGGAAGCCAGGCTGTTACCATACACCAATCAGTCAGTGCCCTCCTGACACACCTTTTGGCTCTATATATATTTCTTCTCATATCAGTTCCTGCAAACTGTAGCTCTGCCTAGCCCAGATTTTCTTAGAAGATATAGGTCCTGAAATTCTCACTGACTATAGTTACATGGGATTTGAAGCATCTTCAAGTCAAAACATGAGTTTGGACAAAAAATCTCGGGTAAAGTCTGAATTAGGGAACTTACGAGCTTTGGGTACATGATAGTATCTTTCTAAATGGCTATCACTTCACTCTCCGATTCAGCAAATCTGAACTTGTTCATAAAATTGTCCTCTTCTTGGTCTTCAAATCTAAATATGCTGTACATCTGGGTGATCATACCTGGAGTACTGGACCTGGCCTAGCTATAATCTTTACCAGCTTCTTGGAGTGCTTCTGGCAACATCATCTTGCTCCAGAGTCAGCTTACCATAGCATTATATATCCTGCTACTAAAGCCACAGCTCTCTCACATCTTCCATATTTCTTCCACATTTCTTCCACCCATAAGATTTTCTGGAAGGTAAAGAGGTGGCCCCAACACACAGCCTCACCTTGGAACAAGCATGAGCTGACGTGGTGGATCAGCATTTGTCTTGAATAGAATGGGGAGGAGAAGTGGAGTCTGTTTTTCAAGACCTTTTACTTTGACTTGAATCAGGGTACAACTTATCAATATGAGGACCAGACACCTCATGGGGCATCCAGGAAAAGCTGTCCCTCTCCAGACGACAAGAATTGTTTAAGCCACAGGCTACAGCTTTAGTGAACAATGAACCAACTTGCAGGACCATTAGCATTGCCAAACTCCCAAATACTTTCTTGTGGAGCTCAGTTCATGTAGCAGGTCATTCAGCTGTATTTTAATGAAGTTCTGCCTAGACTTCCTGGCCTAGTGAAATAACATTGCTTAAGCTCTCATAGCACTAGGTAGAAGGAAAAACTCCAGGCTGGACTATGTTATCATCTGTAATACTATAACACACATTTTTCTTCTTTGGCAGTTTCAACAGCATTTGAAATCTTGCTGTAAAGTCCAAGGAAATCAGAATATGAGACCTCTGTTGAGAATTTTCTTCTGATTTACATGTTTCTCAAAAAAAGCGCTGACTTGAAGTTCAGAGAATTGAGAAAATTGAAAATTACACAGTGTAAAGATACTGAAAATTGCTCTTTTGCTTTGGAGACTTGGGCAGGTTCAGGGAAATGTCAGTGTAATAATAGAGTAACTTTGCTGAAGAAGCTGTAGCATAACTGTTGATCTCTACTTCATTAGTGTTTTAAGAGCACCAATTTTCCCTGATTTAACTTCTGAACTAGATTTTTTTTTAAACAATTTTGTCTCACAAAGACCAGGCACCATCTTCTGCACCTTTGTTGTTATTTAGTTCCAGTGAGTTAAGTTTGGACCTTGAGCAATCAAACCACCAATGCTCATGAGCTGTAATTTTCAGTTTTCTAAGGAAGATACACAAAATGGAAATTAGCAAACTTGTGATTCCATTTCAGGGTGTCTGGTGAAAATATTTTGGATCAGTAACATATCTGAGAGAAGACTGAAGAATTGGCCAGACGTCCTGTACGTAATATGCCAAAAAAGCCAGAGCAGCATCCACTCACAATTCAGATGCTTTTTAAGTTTCAGAAACGTTTAATTAGAAGAGTATTCACTCTTTATGAAGTATGACTTATGGAACAGGGTTATATAGAAAAGCTGAAATTATCCATTAATTGACAGTTTTATCCTGGGGATTTTTCCCCTTCAACATAAACATTTGTCTTCAGCATTTTTTAAAAATTACAGTAGACTAGAAGTTTGCCAAATATTTAGTGGTTTTGTGAAGTTGTTTGGTATTCATGTCTACAAGAGTTCTGCAGAAAACAGTTCTAAGAGCCATTCTTTCACCATATGGTTGGCAATCTAGACAGGGGTGAAGGATAACAAACTTTAAAAAGATGTGTTAAAGAAAAATGTGATTTGAGCTGCAAAAACAAATAAAAGACATTTTTGCAGAGGCTGGATTCATGTCTTGCCAATATTTATTACAGTGTCTATCATTAGGACAGTGATTTTTCACATGTTCAGTCCATTCCAAAAGACAACGTTGTTATGTTTTCAGATCTTGGGCTTCCCACCTTCCTGAGAGGAGATCAGAGGCTGATGAAAACTCTCTCCTTCCCCACCCTTGTTTATATCCTCACCGGCCCATGGCACAGCCCAGACAGCAGAACACCAGAACTCCAGCTCATTTTGGTTCTCTTCCAGACATATTACACACAGACCAAAGGTCAGGCCACATCTGGACTTTGAGGAGCATGCGCAAGGGGAGAGAGTGTGAAAGAGGCCTGTCCTGCATTTTGCCCTATGGTTTATTCAGGGGTAAACATGGATAAACACAGGTTCCTCACTCTTCATTCAGGCAGTGTAGAGGTCAGTCACTTTCTAGCACCGTCTCCAGCCCAGAGCTAGACTGATATCTCTTCTCTTTTAAACAAAGAGGTGACTTGATCCACCTTATTTGCCCCCCTTACTGCTTTTGCTTCTACACCTGCATGCTGTAAAGCTCTGAGAAATTCTCCTGCTGTTCTGTGATAGCTGCTTGCTACCTTTTTCCTTCATTTTTTAAGAGCCAGAAAGGTGCATGACAACAGGCTCAGCTGGTAGGCTTTGGTACATAATTTATGCCACTTGAGTCTAAAAGTTAAAATTGGAAGCAAAGAACAGAATTTATTTTAAACTGTAGCTGGACTCTCAAATTAGCTATTCTGTAAACCCAGTTCAGTTTCAGGATGCCTGCCTGGGAAATCCTGAAGATGATCTGAGGACAGCTTTCAGTAACCACATATTATGTGGAACTTTGCCAGAACAACGTGGAGAAAAGACCCCAGAGACAGTGATCTCTCAGGAAGAAGTGTCAATCCATAGGAAGCTGTGCAATTCAAAGCTATACAGTCAGTGCAGTTTTGAATTCTCTGAGGACCTTGGAAAAAAGGTTTCTGTTATGCTTCTGCAAATCAACTCACTGGAGACTCTGTATGAAATGTTTTAGAGACATATGATCACAAATGAGCAAACTTGTTTCTTGCTACCTGCATTTCAAAAATCAGGTGCCAAGTTTTTCAGTACATGTGCTATAAACTGTATCATATGAAAAACAGAAGTCTTTTGTGGCAGGAATTAAGTGAGAACAGGCTATGTTTATACTCATCAAGTAGTGATGATATGCAAAAGCAGCTCTTCTATTTACAGGCTTGGCCTTTTGTTCTCACAGACTGTTGAGGAGTAATATGAATAGAGGCCAGACTGCAGGACAAACTGCAACATTTCCTCCACTGTCTCTACTGTGAAGAGGCTACCGACCAAAGGATCACTACTAACTAAAGAATCACTGATTCTCTTTCAGATCTTAAACATTTATCCTTAATTACTATTTACTTGCACATTTAGGAACATTAGAGCAGCCACAGATAAGAACCCTTTCGTTCACAGTCTTCAACATTAGGTATTTGTGGAGCAGGGAAAAAGAAAAGAAACCACTACTGACTTCCCTCCATTTGATATACCACCATTTAGTTCTGCTCTCTTCTCTCCTCTTGCCTCATTGCAAGAGATGACATGATACATGGACTTCCATCCTGGATTGCAAAATGTAAAGGGTCACTTAAGACCATCTGAACATCATGTCCAGTTCCCATTCTCTACTAAAGAGTTACCACATCTTCTGGTACAAACAGAATAATAATTTAAACAATACAACTTTCCACTTTTTAGATAATTAGGTTATACATTTATTTCTTGTACTAGCTTAAGATTACTAGGCTTTATGTCCAGCTAACTCCTTACCACACTATGGTTTCAACCATATTGTCTGCTTTTCTGAAAATCTATTTCTGCTTTGGGATCTCAACAAGATCTCAACTTTGTTCCACAGTAAAAATAAAGTATAGATCTACTGCCACGTGGATTAACTGCATCTCAGCTAGGCTACAACCAAAGGGGTTTTGCTAACAACTTAGTAAGCTGTTTTGTCATTAGCTGACTAATTGACAGCACTCTAAATATGTTTTTTGCTAGTCTGTTTCAGGTTTTTAAAGGCTGGTGCACCTCTTTATACCTGGTGCATAATTCATACTTTGTGACAGATGATTCTTGAAGACACACAGCCAAACCTAGGTTCAGAAATCCTAACACCCTCTTGAGCTTTACTTCCACCCACAAACAAAAGAAATACTTGCTGTCTGTCAGATGCCCTTATTTGAGAGAACATGTACCAGTATTTATGTTGGTGTGATTCCACATCCTTTCCTAGGACTAGGATCAGATATGCAGTAAGTTTCCCCACTGGAGATCTTCCAGTATCTGGAGCAGTGCACCATAAATACTATAAATGTCAGCAGTGATACTAACTGTGTTACATATACAGGGTAAAAAGACTAGAAAGGGCAAAATTCAGTAATTTTAGGCCTCCATACCCCAATCATCACCCTTCTGCTAACATAGGCTATTACATCTGTACTTCATCAGTGGGGAAAATAAAAGGAATACTTGGCACCATCATAAACACATGTAAGGCCAAGACAGTAATGTAATATGTATACGACTAGATATATATAAGATATATTTAATTCAGGGCTCGATGACAGGCATATTTCTACAAGTTTTGACCTAAGGAGCAATGAAACCTCATTTTGAATTCCTGAGGACTTTCAAGACTTCAGAATGCAAGGCTCTTTGATAGCTCTTATATCAAGATTCCTCATTTTTTGAGACCAGTCAATCAGGTTTCTTTTACTTCCTACCTGGTTCTGAATATTTTCTTCTCTTGCTGAAGATAGTGGAAATTCAGGATATTCTTCAAGTCCAAGGGGCTTTCAGCACGTCTGGAGGGCAGAAATTCTGTTAACACAAAAGCAGTCAGGCTATATTTTAGAAAACACATTTTCTGGGAGATATTTGATCAGAAAGCCTATATGCCTAAAGTTGGAACAAGATGCAACAGGATTCATTTAATTACCTACAAATTTTGATCCCTTATGTCCATTAAAATCTTATTCAACTCTGTAGTCTTGCCACAGAGTCTGATACAACTCAGAGTGAATTTTTTTCTCCCCACAAACCCTATTTCAGAGATTCATCCTAAAGTCACAAGTTTATCCCTCTTTGAATTCAAGAAGAGAAGAGGATCAGCACAAATTAGAACATTTTGTCTACTGTTGAACTTATTACAGAACCAGCCACTTCATTATTATAAATGAGGTTTAAGCAACAACGTTCTGTCGATGCTCTTTAAAACATCTGCAGATGTCCTGTGTTTCCCAGAGAAGACACTGGAGTTTACAAGGAAGTCCTTTGTGTGGATGGGCAGCTGTGCCAATAAAACTCCAATTCTCTCAATTCTGAAAACGTTTCATGTACTACTGAGACTGCATTACTGAGACAGTAATGACTGCCCAAAGAGAGATGCCCATTAGTTTTTCATTCTTTCTAAGCATAGGCAAAATTTGTCCTTTACATGTACTTTGTCCTTTACATATTTTTAATACAATTTCCTTCCCCTTCTGGTAACACTGGTGATGTAAATCAGTTTCCTAGGCCATGTGGAAAAGAGAGGTAATAACTGTTATTGTGAATTCTTTCAACATTATTTCGTGTTTTCAGAAAACCAAAATTACAAGAAATAAAGTTGGATGATTTTTGACAACTGAATAATATGCTGACACACAAAAGGGAGATATGAGTATCTTCGGTCATCATCATTACAAGCATTGAGCAACTGGATAAATTTCAGAACCTGAATTCTCAGAGTTTTTTTGTTTACAGCTCTAAATTACATACACACAATGAGGGGAGTTAGAATACAAGTTAGCAAGCTGATTCAAGATCTAACAGAACGGGATTTTGGCAGCTTTGTTCTGCTCTTAACAAAATCTGAGCTGTTATATTTTGCGTTTGCTATGATGAAATGAAAAAGCTAATTGCAAGATTTTTACTCTATAAGAAAGTGAAACATTATGCTCTTTCTGAGTTTTTCCTCAAATCAAATGTTAATTACTGCCTGTAAAAAATATTTTTCCATACTTCTAAGACAACATTAGACATTAAATATGCATACTACATGTACCTTACTGGTAGAGGTACTCACATCTAAAAACAACCCCATATAACATCAGCCTAAATATAGAGTGATTGATAAACACTTCTATTGCTCAAACACACAGAAAATAAACCACTATTCAGCAAAGCTGCAATTGCAACAGTTTTCTGAAAACTGTATCACAACTCTTTCTTGGACTAGATGTTATTCCTATGTTGTATTATTTATTATTGAAACTCGACTTTCATCTCTTATCCAGTCTGAATGCTTCCTCACCCAGATTCTGTATTTTCAGAAGCGTGTCTACTATACAGAAAACCTGATGTGACACATCTGCCAATGAAATTAATTCTGAACAAATATCTTAAGAACTCCTTAATTACTGAGGTTTTCATTATCAGCACAATATTCATTCTACTAGGAATGGCAGTTTATCTTAGAGAAGTCTACAAGCGTTTTCTCTTCTTTGCACGTGCAAATTTGCTGTGTCAGGCTCTGGGTAACTGACACAAACACAGCAGATGGAGTTATCACTGCTCTCTGAACACATGGTTATATACAACTATCAGTATATTTTTTTTAAGTTACAAATTAAGGAAAACATTTACCAGAAAGGGGAAAAATAATAAAATAACAACAACAGAATTCCATTTCAGACAGCTGTAATTGCAACTTCTAATACATTTGTATTAAGATTCCTCCAGACATGGGAAGGGAAGGGAAAGGAAGGGAAGGGAAGGGAAGGGAAGGGAAGGGAAGGGAAGGGAAGGGAAGGGAAGGGAAGGGAAGGGAAGGGAAGGGAAGGGGTGCATCTTCAGCTGGAATAACCATGTTTGGTGCCTCTATGTACTTTTGTAGCAAAGGACTTGCAGGTGGATGCTGACTCCCATCCAGGAGGTGTGAACAGAAGGGGAGCTCACCTGTGAGACATGGTCAGTCCTAGCTGAGCTTTTCTCAAATATTCCATATTGCTTTTGGAAACAACCTTTTTTAAGGGAGGGACAGGGAATTTTGACATGTATATTTTCCCCTGTGTCACAAAGCATTGCTCTATCTCTGTGGGTTAGAGGTTATCAGGCAAGCCTTGGCAAGAACATTGTATAAGGTCCCCATACACTTCACATTTCACACTAACTCTCCCAGGCAACTGGCAGCCCTGTGTTCAGTTAGTCCAGCACTGAGGAAAACCAACAGTGACAATACTGCCAGACTTGCTGTTTCTGTGTATTGCAAACAGTTCCCTCTTCCATCCACTCTGTCAGGGAATGGGAGTAGTTCTCTGATTTCTCCCATTTCAGACTTACACATCAAGGGGTGATGGCTGTGCTGCACTCACCTACACCCTGCAATAAGAGGCCAGAGGTTTAAAGTGCCTGAGCCAGGAGATTCTGAGTGTGCTGCTGCATCTGCCCTTGAGGAGGGAGTCCTTATATAGTTTCAGTTTTGCCCACAGGACCCAGGAATTTGACTAAAAGAAAGTATAAAAAGTCAAGGGTTTCATGTTTGTATTGAGGGGATTTTGGCTTAGTGTTTCAAACTTGTGTGCTTAAATTTGCATAAGTAAGGGAAGTCACTATGTGTGTTCAGGTACATTTGTTTCAGTATAAATGTAGAGATGAAGTTTGCTGAATTTAAAATGTAAATGTTCTGGCCCTTCTGAGGCCAAGATTAGGAACACTAAGCTGTCTATTTCAGCTGCTTAAAATAAAAATCAGCTTGCACCACACTTCCAAAATCTTCACAGTAGTATAACAGCTTCCGTCCAAAACTTAATGAAATTAGAATGCAAGTGTCCATGTGGACACCAGGGAAATAACAGCTATTTGGCAAGAGCTTTCTTGGCCGTTACTCCTTTAGATCATCCCTTAGCTTGCATTAGTGTTCCTTCACCCTCATTAATCAATCACTAACCAACTAATTATATTAGATTACCATCGCATATTAATTCTTAGATCATTACAAAAAATCCTACTTGAGATGTGTTTCTTCTGTTTCAGGAATTAAAAACTGGGCTTGAAATCTTGGTATATAACTGACCTCATCAAGGAATAAGTCTGGTCCTGCACTGATGGGAACAATCCTGGTCTCTAGGGAAGGGAATGTATGAGAAAGAAGTGCCCTTTTATCTCCTGACTGTATTTTGTTTAGACTGAGTAGAAAAATACTAAATGAGAGAGGTTAAGCAAAAATAGAAAACAAATTTGATAAGAAAAAACAATAAATGAAGGGGAGTGATGAAAAGTAACTACAGACTAAAAAGAACAGATGAAGCCAAGAATTTGAAAAGGATTAAATGTTACGGAAAACAAATTAGTGAAATATCAAGAGGAAAAAGAAGTAAAAAATGAGATGCCCCTAAGAACTGCAGGCTGGGAGAAGGAAAGCCATGAACAGAGAGCTAGTCAGGGGTAAGTAACAAAGATCAGAAAATGCAGTATGTATTTGAATTGGCACCAACAAGAGAAAATTACTTCAAATATGACAAAAATATTTAATGCCCTATAAAATACCAGCTTTGTGCATATAACAGACCGACGGGTGTGAAAATGTTTTTCTAGCTCCAGGCTTCACTTAACATTAAAAATTCTTGGAAAGGTAGGCTAGTACTCTGCTTTTTCTAATCCAGGCCTTTTCTGAACATTTTAGGATATACACATTGCCTTTTCTGAGCAATCTTGTGTGGGTGACTCACTCTGACTGTCCTGTTCAAATTGTTTCTTGCACACCAAGACCACAGAAAAGGTGTATAATCCTAGGTGAGAGATCTGACCAAATGTACCAGCCTGCTACAATTGTTCCAGTGGATTACAGCTTTTGTGAACATATGATGGTGATAGTGATGATGATGATGATGATGATGATGATGATGATGATGATGACGACGACTTTTCAATACATAACACGATCAAAAGAAGAACCGTGACCTAAGGGATACTCTCCTACTTGGAACCCTTAGCCATTTCTATGCCATCAAAAGTATTCTAAGACCACGTCATAATTCAATTTCCTGTTAAATATGCAGTACTTAGCACTTATATTTTATCTTGAAAAAACCCTACATGTTAGATTGACCCCACTGAAAGCATGCTTCACATTTAGGAGATAAGAAACCGTATGGAGAGGCCACTATGCAACTGAAGTTTGTGAGAGGATGTAATGCAAGGGTTAAAGGCAATTTCAAAGTTCAGTTCAGCCTTGAGCAAAGTATATTGATTTGGGGATTTTATATGTCTTCCAGTTCCCTTAGCTGGAAAACAATCCTCTTGAAAAATGTCCTCAGTGCACTGTGCTAGAAGTCAGGAGTTTGGGTGGTTATTTTTTCTTTATTTGGGTTTAAGTATTTTTTTGGTTGCTACAAGGTTTTGAATACACTCTGACAGAACCATTTGGTTGCTATGTTGGTACAGTCAGACTGCAGGGTGTGGCATGATGTCTGGTTACATAAGCTCCTTAGTGAACAGAACATAAAACACAGAGGCAAGGGAGCTTTCCAAAACTTCACAGAAGCATATAATATTTTTATGTTTTTCTGTTGGGTAAGGCATTATCCAGCCTTGCCCTGAGTTATGTAACAGTAAGTCTTCTCAGGGCATGCCTGAAAGATGAGGGCACTTACCTGCAGATTTGCTCTTGCTCACTTGTGGTGAATCACTCTAAGAAATAGCTTGGAGTTGGGTTTAGGAATATTTTTTTAACCCCCTTCCCTGTGATTCGCAGAACTGATGTTCATGTGATTTGCCACGATTTTGTAAAAATGGGCTTTCACTTGTAGCACTGGAAGTTGTCCTTAATTTATAAGAAG